TGTCAAGAGGGGCAGCGAGGAAGCCACTTCTCTTCAGGAAAAACATCAGGGATAGACTGATATTCTGCAAACGGTACAGGGATTGGACTGTTGAGGACTGGGGTAAAGTCATTTTCTCTGATGAATCCCCTTTCCGATTGTTTGGGGCATCCGGAAAAAAGCTTGTCCGGAGAAGACAGGGTGAGCGCTACCATCAGTCCTGTGTCATGCCAACAGTAAAGCATCCTGAGACCATTCATGTGTGGGGTTGCTTCTCAGCCAAGGGAGTGGGCTCACTCACAATTTTGCCTAAGAACACAACCATGAATAAAGAATGGTACCAACACATCCTCCGAGAACAACTTCTCCCAACCATCCAAGAACAGTTTGGTGACGAACAATGTCTTTTCCAGCATGATGGAGCACCTTGCCACAAGGCAAAAGTGATAACTAAGTGGCACGGGGAACAAAACATCGACATTTTGGGTCTATGGCCAGAAAACTCCCCAGACCTTAATCCCATTGAGAACTTGTAGTCCATCCTCAAGAGGCGGGTGGACAAACAAAAACCCACAAATTCTGACAAACTCCAAGCATTGATAATGCAAGAACGGGCTGCCATCAGTCAGGATGTGGCCCAGAAGTTAATTGACAGCATGCCAGGGCGGATTGCAGAGGTCTTGAAAAAGAAGGGTCCACACTGCAAATATTGACTCTTTGCATAAACTTAATGTAATTGACAATAAAAGCCTTTGACACTTATGGAATGCTTGTAATTATACTTCAGTATACCATAGTAACATCTGACAAAAATATCTAAAAACACTGAAGCAGCAAACTTTGTGAAGACCAATACTTGTGTCATTCTCAAAACACAAATCACTAGTGATCAAACAGATTTTTATAAAAGGTGTTCCTCGTCCATGTGTTCATTAGTTTGTAAAAGGTGACATAAACGTGTTTTCTCCCTAGGGCATGTGGATTCCTGAGGGAGAAAACGTGAAGATCCCTGTTGCCATTAAGGTGTTGAGAGAGGCCACGTCACTGAAAGCCAACAATGAGATTCTAGATGTGAGTAAACTGTTTGTATAGATGATTCTAAATGAAGCCCAGGCGTTCCAGGTTGCCTTTTTTTTTTGGGGCAGCCTGGCTGCGCTTCTCAGCATTTCTTTTACATTTTAGTCATTTAGCAGACAGACGCTCTTATCCAGAGCAATTAGGGTTAAGTGACTTGCTCAAGGGCACATTGACAGAGCCTTGTCAGCTTGGGGATTAGAACCAGCAACCTTTCAGTTACTGGCCCAACGCACTAACCGCTAGGCTACCTGCCACCCATCAACTTTTCAGCAGATTGCCATATCCTATTCATGTGTTTTCTGAGATGTTGAATACTTCTCCAGGCATTGTGAGATCTGAAAAGATGACCTGGAACACCCTCCATGTTTTCTGTCTGCAGGAGGCCTATGTGATGGCCAGTGTGGAGCACCCCCATGTGTGTCGTCTACTAGGCATCTGCCTGACGTCCACGGTGCAGCTCATCACCCAGATCATGCCCTATGGCTGTCTGCTGGACTATGTCAAGGAGAACAAGGACAACATCGGCTCCCAGTGCCTGCTTAATTGGTGTGTGCAAATCGCCAAGGTGAGCAAACAGGAAATGACTTTGCTGTTACATTGGTGCTTTATCTTATTTTGTATATAGGTATGCCATACTCATGACTTTGTGGAAAACAGTACCTTCCATCTTATCACTAGCAAGCCTGTCAAAGAAGTACCTTTTCAGTCAATCTCGATCTGACTAACGTGACAAGCCTCAAATAGAACCATGCCAGCTGCTATCACAGCTGGATAACCAGATGTGTCTGCAATATGTAGACGAACGGCAGGGTAGCGTGATTGATTATTACAAACGGGAGCAAACTGCTTTCTTCAACACTCACTCTGCTCTCCCACTATTTCAGGTGTGATTAGGAATGGGTCTTTGACGGACTGATATATTCACTTAACTTCTTTGTTACCCCTTTATAACCCCCCCCCCCCCCCCCCCCACACCCCCACACACAGAGACACGCACGCATCCACCAAAACCCCTGGCCTGAGCAGAGCTTGCTTCCCAGCCATGGTTGTGACCTTGCCTCTGGCTATTCTTAGTCTATTTGTACAGTAAGCCTGCTGAGGGCTAATTATTGAATACACAGAGGTCTCTATCTGTTCACGGCTTGTCTTGCTGTCTCAAAGAGCAACACAGTCTTATTGATTCTATGGAGATATGGCTCAAAGCAGGTAGGGGCTGTAGCTATAAAGATACTAATAAGATACAATAATGATATGTTTGATAGAAAAGGGGGAATTAAGCATCTGAAGCTGTTTAGTCCCACTCAAAGTAGCCCTCTACGGAAGGTTAAGTATTGGGAGGTTATGTTAAAGTTCCTGGTGAGAGGGACCTTGTTCGTGTCAACATTAGTACAAATACTTGCCTCTGGATAAACCCATGTCAAATTGTAGTGATAGACTCTTTTAATAATTATAAAGTGCTTTTTCTAGGTGCTTAACGTGCTTTGCATTGTAAGGGGGACCTCAACTCATCCACTACCAATTTGTATGTACAGTGTCCGTATCAGGACAGCCTCAGAGTCACAAGGAGTTGGTGTCTGACGTCCATATGTCTTTTGGATGTTGTCTGCAGGGTATGAACTACCTGGAGGAGCGTCACCTGGTGCACCGTGACCTGGCGGCCAGGAACGTTCTGGTGAAGACGCCTCACCACGTCAAGATCACCGATTTTGGACTGGCCAAGCTGCTCACCGCAAACGAGAAGGAGTACCACGCAGATGGGGGCAAGGTTAGAGCAACTGACATCACTGCCATAGTCACATTTTGTGTTTTTATACAAATACGGTTTGCACAGTCATGCAAATCCTAGAAAATGTGGGGATTTTTTCTCAAAATGTTTATGTATGAACCCTGAACACAATTAACTTCCAATAAAGATTGAATTGAATTGTTACATGATGGTCAATGGACTTAACTGTGTGAGTAAAGTGAGTGAAAATATAATTTACTTGTAACTCACTCAACCATGGCTGACCAATAATCCTCCTTCCTACTGTAGGTGCCCATAAAGTGGATGGCACTGGAGTCCATCCTTCACTGGACCTATACACATCAGAGCGATGTGTGGAGTTACGGTAAGTCCAACTGGACAAACAGTACAACAAATATTTGAGGAAATAATCAAATAAACGTAATATCTGAACAACTACAGCTTCTGAAAGTGTCTACCTCTATTGAGTGCTACGGTTGATGTACCTGTAATGACATGCAGGTGTGACAGTGTGGGAGCTGATGACGTTTGGGTCCAAGCCCTACGATGGCATCCCAGCCATTGAGATCGCTGGAGTCCTAGAGAAAGGAGAGCGCCTGCCCCAGCCCCCCATCTGTACAATAGACGTCTACATGATCATGGTCAAATGTGAGTCATGTGCACCATAGATATGTAAAGAAACGGGTTACCAAGTTATTTGCATAACTGAACGCATTCAACCGAAATGTGTACACACGCGCGCAGGCTCACACACATACACGCACACACAAAATCAAGGGGTTTGATGTCTTACCTTCCTTCAGGCTGGATGATCGATGCAGACAGCAGACCACGGTTCAGGGAGCTCATCTCGGAGTTCTCCAAAATGGCCCGGGATCCATCTCGCTATCTGGTCATTCAGGTAATTAAGAATAATATACGCCCTCAGAATTAGATATTCTATTAGATAGTTGCATCAACTCTTATTTCTTTGATGGGACATTACAGGAATGGTCTCCCATCATAAAATAGATGCTTGATCTCAATGGGATTTTTGTCAATTTAGGATCAATCAAAATGAAATATTGACCCATATTGTAGCTACTATAGGCAATAAAAGGTATTGAAAACTATGATGGTATATCTACTTAATTTGTTGATGAGAGCAATTGATGTCCGAAGCATCATGTTTTAACTTAAGAAAGAATAAAACGTTGAATTTAATTTACTCTAAAATGTACATTTCAGGGGGATGATCGCATGTACCTGCCCAGTCCCACGGAACCTATGTTTTACCGTAGCCTGATCAGTACATCAGAGGACATGGAGGATGTGGTGGATGCTGAGGAGTATCTTCACCCCGATAAGGGCCTCTCCAATGGGCAGACCACCCAGCACCACAACTCTAGGGTAAACACACACACATGCACAGACATATGCACACATGCACACACACATCTTATGTTTGTACCGGAGTGCCAAGTGGTACCGGAGTGCCAAGTCTAGGTCCAAAAGACTTCTCAACAGCTTCTACCCCCAAGCCATAAGACTCCTGAACAGCAAATCATGGCTACCCAGACTATTTGCACTGCCCCCCCACCCCATCCTTTTACGCTGCTGCTACTCTGTTAATTATTTATGCATAGTCACTTTAACTCTACCCACATGTACATATTACTTCAACTACCTCAACTAGCCGGTGCCCCCGCACATTGACTCTGCACCGGTACCCCCCTGTATATATAGCCTCCCTACTGTTATTTTATTTTACTTCTGCTCTTTTTTTCTCAACACTTTTTTTGTTGTTGTTTTATTTGTACTTTTTTGTTAAAAATAAATGCACTGTTGGTTAAGGGCTGTAAGTAAGCATTTCACTGTAATGTCTGCACCTGTTGTATTTGGCGCATGTGGCCAATACAATTTGATTTGATTTGATTTGATGTGTCGATCGTCTCGCCACAGAACGGCCATCCGATGAGAGAGAACAGTGTGGTCCTTCGCTACATCACAGACCCCACCCACGGCGGTTCTCTAGAGAAAGATTTCCCAGCTCTTCCAGGTACAGTACAAACTTGATCTATGATGAGTTATTAAATTAACTTTCAACTTACAGTAACACATATGCATTGACGGCGTAACACTTCACCAAAATGCATCATCTCTGCTCTGTAATGTAAGCCTGGGTATTTACTTGACCTTCGTCTGTATTCTAGAATACATGAACCAGAACACCAGGCTCCCTGACGTCTTCAACCCCAGCTATGAGGATCCCACCGAGCCATCCTGGGCTAGTAGGCCCTCCTCTGGGTACGACCCGGTTGCCAAATTCTTCAACTTCCTGCCTCCCGTGCTGGAAAGGCCTGAGTACCTCAACATGGCCCGCAGTACCCTCCCTCGCGCCGTCTGCGAGCGCATGGACAACCCAGACTACCAGGAGGACTTCCTGCCTCAGGCCACGCCCACCAGTAGTCACTTCCTGCCTGCGGCAGAGAACCTGGAGTACCTCGGGTTGAGCGCTGCTGTACATGCCCCTGTACGCTACGGGTCTCCTCCCACAGAACACAGGGACAGTGAAGGACTATGGGTACTAAAGGAACTTGGATGGAGACGATGTGGGACATCAGGGAAGGGTTTGGAGGGATTATAGTAGTGTGGTTGTCCCTTTATTTCTGGAGTGAATAGGCTTTTTGCGTCGTCCTTGGACGTAAGTCAGCCAAAACCAAGATGGCGTCTGTCATGAACTGATGCTCCTGGGAAATGTGTACTCCATTTCAAATCCATTAAGCATCCACAGGCGACTTTGGGTGACTTTCCCATCAGAAGAATGAGCCAAAGCCTTGGCAATATAATTATGTCACGCAAGTAATTTATTTGTACACTGTTGTTTGTTCAGTCCGGGTCGAGCGTGTGAAACAGTTGTTTTTTATTTGCTTGCCATGAAATGTGAATGTGGAGTGAACGGAGTACACACTGAGATACTGACCCCTAAGGCAGTGGTGGACACTGATGGACCTTATGCTTACATTGTATTGTGGACCCAATTTATTACAGATATGTTATCTGTTGTACACACTTGAATACCAAGACTCAAACCATTTTGGGTACCAAGAGCTACCAGTAACTGACAGGGTCAAGTCAAAGTATTTTGGAAAACGACACAAAAATGTACAGATGATCTAGATCAATGCATGCCTAACACATGACGGTAAATAATAGCTATTTATTCTAGGTTATTTGGGTCTCACTGTTTATCTTAGAAAGAAAACTGGTCTGTAAGTCTTATCTTACTAGTATTAATAATTGAAATAGGGATTGAAAACTGGAAGAGCACAAATAGACACTATAAAGGACTTTATGGGCCCGATTCCGACCCGAGTTCTCTATGGGCCCGATTCCGAACTGAGTTAAGTGCACGTAAATGGAAAGTAGTTCCCTTTTTATGCACTTTTCTCTGTATGCGTATTCTGAATTTAAGCATGAGAATAGCGTTTTTGGTGGAGATCGAATAAATGAAGGTGTGGCGGTGTGTCGAAAGATACGCCGTATTCTGACCTTGACTTAATTCCACCACCTTTACGGCAAAGACCCCTGGCGCCCCATTGTTTGGGAACCACTGCGTTAGACCTTATTCATGGTTTCCTAGCGCGTAAAGATGGTGGAATTAAGTCAAGGTCAGAATACGGTGTAAAAAAAAAAAAACTACATAAATACAAATATATAGATATATTGTTTTTACTCAGTCCGGCTTCAACTTACTCTTGAAAGTTGTAATAGTAGGATGCACAAGGTGAAATTTCGAAATTGGGTAGTGCAGCATCAGTTTTCCTCTTGTCATGTCAGTCATTGCATACCTTCGAGAGCTATTTATAGCCCATATCAGCTAATGTTTTTTAGCTAGGTTTTTTAGTCTAATAAAAAGCATGAGCTGGCGCACACCCAAAGAAAATTATTTAGTGTAGAGGTGCTTACTAATGGTGAATAAACTGTAAGCTATAAAAATAGAGTTTATATATAAACTCCCAGTAATGTATTGGGTAAAACACCAGGGTCACCCTGAAGAAGGTACAGTGAATAAATTACTGGGAGTTTATATATAGAGTGTGCTATTTTTATAGCCAGGTTTTTTAGCTCATAGATTTTGTTGTAATGTTTGAGTCACTCAAATATCACATGAATCCACATTAGGCATGACAAAATGTGTAGAATTGCAGGAAATAAACTTGAAACCTTCAATTTTATTTTGGCCAACAAGAGGGATGTGAACAGTTTGTCATGAACAGTGCTTGTGCCCATAGAAATAGATGTGGCGCGCACGCAGGGAGGATGCGGATGTTCCCCAATGCTGGAAGGGGGGCCTGAGTGAAAAAGTTTGGGAACCCCTGGTCTAGCGAACTTACCGGTTCCAAGTGGAAAAAGCATCTACTTTATTTTTTCAAATAGAAATAAACAGCATTCTCCATGCACTATAATTTACAACTTAATAAGAGTTATTGATGAGAGCTAGGTAAATGAGTAATCCGTTTGGATAAGGGAATTGTAAATATAAATGACACTTGTTTTAGATAAATACTCCATGACCAAAAGTATGTGGACACCTGCTCGTCGAACATCTCATTCCAAAATCATGGGTATTAATAGATTGCTGCGGGGACTTGCTTCCATTCAGCCGCAAGAACATTAGTGAGGTTGGGCACTGATGTTGGGCGAGTAGGCCTGGCTCACAGTCAGCGTTCCAATTCATCCCAAAGGTGTTAGATGGGGTTGAGGTCAGGGCTCTGTGCAGGCCAGTCAAGTTCTTTCACACTGATCTCAACAAACCATTTCTGTATGGACCTCGCTTTGTGCACAGGGGCATTGTCATGCTGAAACAGGAAAGGGCCTTGCCCAAACTGTTGCCACAAAGTTGGAAGCACCGAATCATCTAGAATGTAATTGTATGCTGTAGAGTTAAGATTTCCCTTCACTGGAACTAAGGGACCTAGCTCGAACCATGAAAAACAGCCATTCCTCCTACACCAAACTTTACAGTTGGCACTATGCATTAGGGCAGGTAGCGTTCTACTGGGATCCGCCAAACCCAGATTCGTCCGTCGGACTGCCAGATGGTGAAGCGTGATTCATCACTCCTGAGAACGCGTTTTAGTGTAGCTAAACATTTTGAGAATAAGAACGTCAACAGTGTCATGTAGACTCTTAGCTCTTGTTAACAGTAGATATGTCAGATTGTTTGAGAAATTTCTACTTGTCTAACAAAACATTTTTACAATGGGGATTGTTTTAACAACCTGACTCTGTCTCTATCCCTGAGTTCAACATCCACATGTGAAATAATTTGTTATGAGTGTACAATACCAATTCAAATGTATTTCCCTAGAAATCAGCAGTCTTAAGCAATGTTAGGAAAAGGTTAGTTACTTGTACATAAATGAGCATTCCCTGGAAATCCCTTCAGTGACTCTTTCCATTCCTTTTGTTAAACCAATAATTCATAGGCTGCGTTTACACAGGCAGCCCAATTCTGATCTTTTTTTGCCACTATATGGTCTTTTGACCAATCACATCTTTTCACAGATCTTTTTCAGAGCTGATTTGATTGGTCAAAAGATAAATATCAGAATTGGGTTGCCTGTGTAAACGCAGCCTTAGTTGCTACATCAATTTTTTTTAACTTATAAATTAATGACATACCCATTGATTCTTGAAGAATATAACTTATAAATGCCTCATGAGCTTAGCTCAACTGTCATAACCCATCAGAACCCCAAATAAGCATTTTACTCCAATGTTTCTAAACAACGTACATGTAAACAAACAGTGTATAGCCTCAAAACAGAGTTAAAACAATACTTCTAAATATCATGGATGGTCAGTCCTTGTATCCATAGCTCTGTCTATGAATTTGAGAGTGGTTACATTTCTCCAGGCCCATCTCTCAGCTTTTTTCTAGCCGATAACAGAGGCGGCTCAAGCCTGTTTTTTTTATTGTGTATATTATTACAGTCAGTAATGTAAGTAGAAAATAGTTGGTAATTCAACTCAATTTAAGCAGTTGGTAATTGTGAGACTACTACACGCTCTCTGAGCCAACAGAGTTTGACACGTTACCATGACGTTCTTCCTGTGTTTGTATACTGTATCTACTAGTATTTGGTGTTTAGCAGATCAATTTCAATTGTGCACTTCACACATACAAAAGTACAACATTCCACTTTAATGCTATGTCCTAGACGCTACAATGCTGTAAAGGAATGCCAATTTAATATTCCCTAAAAAGTCAAATCTACGTATAATCAAATTATTTATCAGGTTTTCCGTCGGCAATAGAAGCGGACACCATCATGATGATGTTTTTCAAACCATAAGCGAGGTTTGTGTTCATTAGGCAGAGGGACTACCTTAACTTGTCCAATAAGAAATGCTCCTTTTCGTTTTACTGTTGCAAAACGTTGTCTATTGCATGCCCTAATGAGCATGACCCAGGGTTAGTCAGAAGGATGTCTTGTCAAGCAGACTAATGGACAAGTATGACATGTCATACACCATTGATTGTTAGAATATGTACAAATGATTTTATTAGCATGATTTGAACAATTATTTACAAAAAGTTAATGGACTGTGGGATAACATAAAATATGTCTAGACTCAAACTGTTACTTGCTTCATGAGTGCCTGCTCCCCGAAAACTTGCTTGAAGTATACCACATGCTCCTCACAGTGCTCACCTATAGGCCAATCAAAATATAGTATTAGGTCAAAGGTCAGTCAATACATGCCAGTGGCAGCTGGGCGGAGAGTCATTCATTTATTAGCTATTCATTTATTAATTCGTTATTTATTCCCAGGTTTATTTATTACCCCACTGCAAACACGTTGATTGTGTTTTTAGCATTAGTACCGATTGTGTCCTTATTAATTAATAATAATAATAAATAATATGCCATTTAGCAGACACTTTTATCCAAAGCGACCTACAGTCATGCGTGCATACATTTTTTTTTTTTTTTTTTTGTGTATGGGTGGTCCCGGGGATCGAACCCACTACCTTAGCGTTACAAGCGCCGTGCTCTACCAGCTGAGCTACAGAGGACCACATTTCTTAAAATTGTATACAGTATTTAGACAGGTATATGCTATGCTCTTTGTCATCCCCTTGGATTGCAGTTTACGTTGATAATGTGGGTGTCTATAAAACCTGAAACCTATAGGATAAAGGTTCACAATCACTGATACTCTCCCACATGTTCAAAGTTTCAAAGAAGCCATTCAATTGTGGTAAGAATTGTATGTTTGGGAAAAATCATAGATGCATCCATATGAATAAAAAAGCAACAGCTTCAGCACCTTTCAGCATATGCCTGTTGTTCCTGGTTTAGCGGAGTTATTATTTGGGTCAAGGCTATCTAATATAAAATCACACAGAGGGAGGGCACTCATTCATTGTTGAAAACAATGGCATTACCAACATTTCTACCACAGAATAGAGTCCATGTGTGAATTATTTATACGGTCATTACAAAGGATTTAGTCAGACCAGAGCCATAGAAATACATAGTCTGGTGTCACTCCTACACTATTTATCCAACCTATCGGTTTGTATAAGTCAAGCCATCTGGCTTAAGACAATGTGGTTCTAGATGAACTTTTCTCCTATGTGGGCCATGGTGAAAAGTAGTGCACTACATAGAGTATAGGGTGTGGTTTGAGCTGTAGCCCTAGTGTAGTGGTGTCACATCACCTGGGTTGAAGCTGGGGCTGCCTCTCAGACGCAGGTTCCTCTGCTCGAAGAACCGGAAGATGGTGTAGAAGAGCATCTGGTCGGCCGTCTGGCGTGCCGCGTCCAGGAACTTGCGGGCGGAGATGTTGTCGTGGCCGCCCACACTGCGGATGAAGCGCAGTGCACCCAGCACCTGCTGCCTGGACAGGAGCACCTCCACGATCTCATCATTAGCTGTGGACAGTCTCTGTCACACACACACACAGATCTAGTACGTTATAGATCAGCATGTTACACATAGATGTATGATGTTATAGATCAGCATGTTACACACACATACTGTAGATCAGAATGTCACATGGGAAACCATCACTGTGCTGACTCAAAGAAACTTAACTAGATTTATTGTTAGAATTCAGCCATAAATGGAGTTTGTTCACTTGAAGGTTCCTTATTTCCTATAATTAGCTGTACCAATACAACTAATGGAACTTTAAAATGGGATTCTCTGAAAAAACAATCAACTCTCCAAAGGACTTTGGATGTCCTGTTTGATATTCGATAGCTGTTTAAACCGTGTGTGTATGTGTGTGTTTGGTTTTTGAGGGCATGTGTGTGTTTGAGTGCGTGTGTGTGTTTGAGTGCGTGTGCGTGAGTGAGTGCGTGTGCGTGCGAGTCTGTGTGTGTGTTTGCGTGTGTGTGTGTTTGAGTGCGTGGTGCGTGCGTGCGTGTTTGAATGTGATGGTGTGTTTGAGTGTGTGTGTTTGAGTGCATGCATATATAAGGGATCCTACCTTCAACATATCCAGGGAGAGCTGGTGTGCAGGGGGGTATGTACTTTCTAGAGACAGCAGCAAACAGGCCTTAGAGAGAATGATGATACAGATGTTAATTCCATGACCAATCAAAATAAAGTTCTTACAGTAGAACTGATCCAAGGTCAGCTCAACCAATGAAACGAGAGAGAGAGAGACTAAATAATTAACCACTATTAGAGCAACATTATGCCTTTTATAGGAGGGATCACAGGAGGGGTAGATGAGGGAAGAGTTTCCCACGCATTATACTGGATTAAATACCATGTAGGAATTAATTGTGAAAGACCTGGGTCAAATACATACTTCAAAGGGTTTTACTATTGTTTCCATTGCACCTGGAAAACCATATGAAGTGCAGCTCAAGCTTTTTGACATGTATTTGACCCAGGTCTATTCTGAAGCATTGAGTCTTTAGCAAACAGCTTGCTAGCCCTTCGTCCTAAACGTTGTCTTATACGCCGCTGAATAACCAAAAGCTATTGATGACTATAGGACCAAACTACCATGAAATAGTTGAGCTGTTTGTAATAATTAGTGACTCACCAGCGGCTTGGAGTCGCTGAGGACGTGGTACTGGAGGAACTGATGGAGCATGTAGAAGAGGTTGTGCTGAACCAACATCTTAATGACCAGCTCATACAGGTAATGCTGGGGGGGGGGGACAGAGAGTGCAACTTAATATTTCTGACTATCTCCAGGGCAATATGGACCAATAAATATGTAGGATCTACAGGAACATAAATCATACTAATGTAGCACTGACAACTTGTTACAACATGAAACAGTGGCATCTCACCATAATACATAAAACAACAAAACAGGTTCTGATAGAGCCTCCCGAAAATATATATCTGCTTTTCTGCAAAGGAGTACCTGCACAGTGATCTGGACCTGGTTGAGTGAGCGAATGTACTCCATCAGCACAGCAATGATAAATTTGTGAGACGTGTCCTGTTGGAGGAGTGAAACAATATAATGTCCAGTCATCTTACAGGCAATTGCAAATTTGTATTTATTTATTATAAGGCAGCCATTGAAATAAGTGTTTTGCCGCTGTCACCTTTTTCTCAGAGAAGGAGGACAGGACATGGGTGTACATGTCTGACTGGTCGATAACCGCCTGCGTCCGGACGGGCCTCTCCCGAGCAGTGCTGCCTCGGCTGGGACCAGACTCCATAGCCTGGATGAGATCAACAGGAAACAACAGGTAGTGTGTGGGCTACTGTCCTGAACCACCGTAATACGGATGAAAACTCAAATCTGTTAATCTACATCCTTTTTGTTGTTCAAAATTGTTAAGACGGATCTAATAGTAAGATAACACTAAATATCTTTCCACTGGTGTCCCTTGATCTTGAAATTACTTAAATTACAATGAGCTTTGCTGTGCATTTATTAAAAGTAACATCATTGAAGTACACTACCGTTCAAAGGTTTGGGGTCACTTAGAAATTTCCTTGTTTTCCATGAAAACATGAAATTAGTTTGAATAGGAAATATAGCAAAATGCATAGGAAATGTAGTCATTGACAAGGTTAGAAATAATGATTTTTAATAGAAATAATAATTGTGTCCTTCAAACTTTACTTTTGTCAAAGAATCCTCCATTTGCAGCAATTACAGCCTTGCAGACCTTTGGCATTCTAGTTGTCAATTTGTTGAGGTAATCTGAAGAGATTTCACCCCATGCTTCCTGAAGCACCTCCCACAAGTTGGATTTTCTTGATGGACACTTCTTACGTACAATACGGTCAAGCTGCTCCCACAACAGCTCAATAGGGTTGAGATTTTACATTTACGTCATTTAGCAGACGCTCTTATCCAGAGCGACTTACAGTTAGTGAGTGCATACATTTTTTTTCATACTGGTCCCCCGTGGGAAACGAACCCACAACTCTGCTCTACCAACTGAGCTACACGGGACTGTGTTGGCCACTCCATTATAGACAGAATACCAGCTGACTGCTTCTTCCCTAAATAGTTCTTGCATAGTTTGGAGCTGTGCTTTGGATCATTGTCCTGTTGTAGGAGGAAATTGGCTCCAATCAAGCGCCGTCCAAAGGGTATGGCATGGCATTGCAAAATGGAGTGATAGCCTTCCTTCTTCAAGATCCCTTTTACTCTGTACAAATCTCCCACTTTACCACCACCAAAGCACCCCCAGACCATCACATTGCCTCCACCATGCTTGACAGATGGCATCAAGCACTCATCCAGCATCTTTTCATTTGGTCTGCGTCTCACAAATGTTCTTCTTTGTGATCCGAACACCTCAAACTTCGATTCGTCTGTCCATAACACTTTTTTCCAATCTTCCTCTGTCCAGTGTCTGTGTTCTTTTGCCCATCTTTTATTTTTATTGACCAGTCTGAGATATGGCTTTTTCTTTGCAACTCTGCCTAGAAGGTCAGCATCCCGGAGTTGCCTCTTCACTGTTGACGTTGAGACTGGTGTTTTGCGGGTACTATTTAATGAAGCTGCCAGTTGAGGGCCTGTGAGGCGTATGTTTCTCAAACTAGACTCTCTAATGTATTTGTCCTCTTGCTCAGTTGTGCACCGGGGCCTCCCACTCCTCTTTCTATTCTGGTTAGAGCCAGTTTGCGCTGTTCTGTGAAGGGAGTAGTACACAGCATTGTACGAGATCTTCAGTTTCTTGGCAATTTCTCGCATGGAATAGCCTTCATTTCTCAGAACAAGAATAGACTGACGAGTTTCAGAAGAAAGTTATTTGTTAATGGCCAATTTGATTCTGTAATCGAACCCACAATTGCTGATGCTCCAGATACTCAACTAGTCTCAAGAAGGCCAGTTTTATTGCTTCTTTAATCAGCACAACAGTTTTCAGCTGTGCTAACATAATTGTAAAAGGGTTTTCTAATGATCAATTAGCTTTTTACAATGATAGATTTGGATTATCAAACACAACATGCCATTGGAACACAGGACTGATGGTTGCTGATAATGGGCCTCTGTAGGCCTTTGTAGATATTCCATTTTTTTTTAAATCAGCCGTTTCCAGCTACAATAGCCATTTACAACATCAACAATGTCTACACTATATTTCTGATCAATTTGATGTTATTTAAAAATGGACAAAAAAATTGCTTTTCTTTCGAAAACAAATAAATGTTTAAGTGACCTCAAACTTTTGAACGGTAGTGTACATCCATTTAGCCACATGCATACAAACTGTATTATCTGTATCATGTTTTGCTAGCAGTCAAGATAGCTGTGCTAGAAACAGTGTGGCTTTTCATTATCCAGGTTATGCAGTGTTTTCATAGACAGTACTCACCACAGTGTAGGTCTGCTCTACCTCCAGGTACTCTTTGTAGACTTGGTTGAGTTTGTCGAACACTGTGGCGACCACTGGTAAGCTCCCCTTATCTTCCCCGTTGAGCACTGAAACACACAGAGAGGTCTTGCGTGAACACTATCTATGGGCACTATGGTTTAGGGTTCTCTAATCATGTACAACCTCGACTTCTTGTTTTATTAGTGTACTTGCTTCAGAAATGAACAGTCTCCCCTATCTGTTTCACGAGGCAGTCTTACTTTGTGCGCACACGGACAAGATGACCATCTTGCAGTCTCGTCTGCGCAGGAGGAAGTCCAGTAGCTTGCCCTTGTCCTGCAGGAGGTTGACGGTCGGCGGTAGCTTCACCTGCAGATACCACAGATACCCTGAAGCAGAGGGGGAACACACAGAACAGGTCAGACAAGCATGAGAGAACCTGAGCCCCACCCGGAACAACAAACTGTAGATCTGAGAAGTTTGAATAGGCGCAAGCAATATGGCAACCATTCGACATAGTCTACCAGAGAACGAAGTGGCTCTCCTACCACATTGGTTCCTGTACACCTATCTGTTCCTATCAGATCTACAGTGAATAGGGGTTAAGGACTAGTGGTCGTTTCTGGTCCAAATTAACACAGAAAGTTTGCCAGGACATAGTAGTTTATGGTTAGATGTGTGGGTGTTCTTCTCACTCACCTTCGCTTGCACTGATGATGATGTCGGGTTGAAAGACGCTCCAAGATGAGGAGTCTGAAGGTCAAGGGAAGCATCCGTGTTTATCAGTAATACCACCTACCATCTCCATGCTAGCTGTCCCAATTATCATTGATACCAATCCATTGACACAAGTGTCACCGCAGCTCATCCAGCTACTGGCGTTTCATAAAGGATACAGAGCTCACAAGGCACCGGAGGCTGGGAGGGTACAGCAGCAGGACCTATGGAGACAGGGAGATGTGAAGTTAGTTTAAAAGACATGGGACATAAGGGAGTGCAAGGAGAGGAAAAAAACCTGTTTTCAAAAGTGGCAGATGGGAGAGAAGTGAGAGAAGTTCTGAAAGTTCTGTCTCAGAGACAGAATGACACATGGGGTAGAAAAAGAACAACAGACTGATGTGTCACCTGTGTGTGACAACAGAAAGTGACAGAGGGACACAGTCACAGCTGGAGGGACAGACAGGCAAAGAGAAATATAAACTCAGACAGACAAAACAGGCAGGCATACAGACAAGTCAGCCAGTCAGACAGTGACCAAAAATGGACCGGCATGGCCACATACAGTAGAGTAAATCCATGTAGCCTATACCTGTGAGGGGGATCCTGTAAGGGTGAATGGAGCGAGCAGGCAACACAGGCTGGTGGACGTTAAGGGCACAGTCAGGCTCCCGCAGCTTGATGTCAAATATAAGGGAGGTCTGAAACAGAAGACATTATCTACATCATTCAGGACTGAACGTGTTTGGATTTTGGATATGGAACAACATGACAGTAGTAGTTTGTCTGTCTAACCTCGTGGCTACCGCCGTTATTTCACAAGCTTGGGACTATAAGGTTCTTTCTGAATTTGTCAAAATTGAGTTATTAACATAGTCTTGTTCTGTTCAATGTTCTCTACCTACAGTGCATTCGGAAAGTATTCAGACTCCTTGACTTATTCCACATTTTGTTACGTTACAGCCTTATTCTAAAATTGATTAAATTACTTTTTTCCTCATAAATCTACACACAATACCCCATAATGACAAAGCAAAAACAGGTTTAGAAATCTTTGCACATTTATTAGAACTAAAAAACAGAAATACCTTATTTACATAAGTATTCAGACCCTTTGCTATGAGACTCAAAATTGAGCTCAGGTGCATCCTGTTTCGATTTATCATCCTTGAGATGTTTCTACAACTTGATTGGAGTCCATCTGTGGTAAATTCAATTGATTGGATATGATTTGGAATGGCACACACCTGTCTATATAAGGTCCCACAGTTGACAGTGCATGTCTGAGCAAAAACAAAGCCATGAGGTCGAAGGAACCGCCGTAGACCTCCAAGACAGGATTGTGTCGAGGCACAGATCTGGGGGGTACGAAAAAATTTCTGCAGCATTGAAAGGTCCCCAAGAACACAGTGGCCTCCATCATTCTTAAATGGAAGAAGTTTGGAACCACCACGACTCTTCCTAGAGCTGGCCGCCCGGCCAAACTGAGCAATCAGGGGAGAAGCACCTTGGTCAGGGAGGTGACCAAGAACCCAATGGTCACTCTGACAGAGCTCTAGAGTTCCTCTGTGGAGATGGGAGAACCTTCCAGAAGGACAACCATCTCTACAGCACTCCACCAAACAGGCCTTTATGGTAGAGTGGCCAGACGGAAGCCACTCCTCAGTAAAAGGCACATGACAGCCCACTTGGAGTTTGCCAAAAGGCCCCTAAAGACTCTCAGACCATGAGAAAAAAGATTCTCTGGTCTGATGAAACCAACATTGAACTCTTTGGCCTGAATGCCAAGCGTCACATCTGGAGGAAACCTTGCACCGTCCCTACGATGAAGCATGGTGGTGGCAGCATCATGCTGTGGGGATGTTTTTCAGCGGCAGGGACTGGGAGACTAGTCAGGATCGAGGGAAAGATGAATGGAGCAAAGTACAGAGAGATCCTTGATGAAAACCTGCTCCAGAGCGCTCAGTACCTCAGACTGGGTCGAAGGTTCACCTTCCAACAAGACAGCGACCCTAAGCTCACAGCCAAGACAACGCAGGAGTGGCTTCGGGACAAGTCTCTGAATGTCCTTGAGTGGCCCAGCCAGAGCCTGGACTTGAACCCGATCGAACATCTCTGGAGAGACCTGAAATTAGCTGTGCAGCAACGCTCCCCATCCAACCTGACAGAGCATGAGAGGATCTGAAGAGAGGAATGGGAGAAACTCCCAAAATACAGGTGTGCCAAGCTTGTAGCGTCATACCCAAGAAGACTCGAAGCTGCAATCGCTGCCAAAGGTGCTTCAACAAAGTACTGGGTAAAGGGTCTGATTACTTATGTAAATGTATATTTCCTTTTTTTTTTTTTTTTTTTTTTAATGTGCAAAATTTCTAAAAACCTGTTTTTGCTTTGTCATTATGGGGTATTGTGTGTAGATTGATTTAATACATTTTAGAATAAGGCTGTAATGTAACAAAATCTGGAAAAAGTAAAACACTTTCCAAATGCACATAGTACTCTAAATACCCCAATTCGAATTGTTGAATTCAAATGAATACAATATTAAAATTGCTGACACAATTCAAACCAATGAGGGTTCAGAACTTTAAAGCCAATTATCTCAGAATCATCTTTGAGCAGATAGAATCTTATAGTCCTAAGCTCTCGATTTCTTGCCAAAAGGAACTCACCTGAGAGCTCTGATGATGCACAACAACCAGGTTATCCACCACGTTGAGGGCAAACTTCCCTGTGGTGTTGAGTTTTAACACGTTGGTTTTCTTACAGGATCCCTCCCTGGGAACAACATGCTGTTAGTCAGGACCAATGACCTATATAAACCCTGGATTGCTGATGTAATGTATTGGCCATTGAGAGGCTTTGAAGCCACCGGTCGGCCATATTGTAACTCCCAATTAGGAGCAGTCCTACATAGGAATGAATGGAATTCTACAGTATTTCAATTAAATGTTTCAAGGACAAAAAAAATATTTTCTGTTGTATTGGGGACAGTACCTTTAGTAATCTTTAAAAATGTTACTTTAAGGAAAAATAATATATATATATATATATATATATATATATATATATATATATAAAATATGTTTAGCTCACATAATATAAAAGTATGCATTAAGGTGTCTGTAATATAATAAATGTGTCAAGAACAAATCTAGAGATTAATAAATGCTTTTTTATAGCTTCCAAAATATGGCGTCACGGTGGCTTCAACACAGCGCCCCCTATCAGTCATATAGTGTATATATAAATCATTGGTCAGGACAGTGACTGACATAATATACCACTTTATCCCTTCAGATATTCCCTACTCATAAATAACACCATGCATATTTAATTTCAAGGTTGAATCAGTAAATGTCTATGAGTAGCTCCTTACTCTAGCAACTCTGCATATTAGGGTGATACGATTGCTGCATGACCTTGTTAAGTTAGTAGTATGAATTTCAGCATGTTTAGAGCAATGTCCATTAGGAATATGCTATATGAAATGTAAGATTTACCTGTGTAGCTGATAGAGGACCACCTCAGCACAGGGACTGTCAGTAGTTCTGGAGTGATGCTTCAGATACATTACATACAGCTGACCATAACTACCAGTAGAAACAAAGTGAACAACTCATTTAGCTTTTTATACTGCCAAAAGTTGTTTGAAAATGTTACTTGAATATCGAGCCAAAATATGACATTTCAATTCAAACTTACATGGTGGCCACAGCAATGTCCCTCTCTGACAGATTGAGCTTGGCTGGCTTGGGAACCACTGGAAGCTCGATCTCAAACTTGGGCATTTTAGACATGGTCCCACTCTGGAGGTACAAACAACAACGGGTAAGTTAACACCATCAAAAACGAGATAACGACAGCTTGGATAACCACTTTAATCAAATCAATCAATCAAATGAAATGAAACACTAACCAATCAAATGTACTGTTTGATGAATAGATTTTCAGCAACTTGCGGATGCTTTCTCAAACATGAACATGAGTTTTGGTGGAATATATAATGTCTTACTGTAGCTGGTTGTGGACATGTTTGAAACATTTATCATCTCATTATCTTGTGACCACTTACCTTGAAGGCAAACGGCTGCAGCACGTTGCCCTGGGCGGTGGTAGAGAGCAGGATGACTGCAGTCTCAGGACAGTACATGTACCAGTTCACATTGATGCTCTGGCTCTTCAGCAGCTTCAGGCTGCGCTTGTCAGGAAGCACCTAAACACAGCGGGCATCTCATTGACATCCACTTCATCGTCTGTCTAACGTCGGAAAAACTGGCACAAGAAGACATTTTTCTAGAACGTGTTTGGAGACTAATAGACATCCCTATATACATGCCTTTTCCAGGTACAATTTGACCTTACACAGTACAGTAAGACATCAGTAAGGCAACATCTGCCAACTTCATAGCTAAATTGAGACCTCTAGTGGTTGTAGTTTGATTTGAGTTGACATAGTCACATAAGCTTCATTTACATTTTAGTCATTTAGCAGACGCTCTTATCCAGAGCGACTTACAGTTAATGAGTGCATACATTTTCATACTGGCCCCCCGTGGGAATCGAACCCACAACCCTGGCGTTGCAAACACCATGCTCTACCAACTAAGCTACACAGTGTTTTAGAAAATAACAATACAAGTTCAATTCAACCAATTGTGTTACAATAATCTAGGACACAGTGCATTCCTAAACCACAAAACAATTGGCTTATTACTCCCGTATCACAAGAAATAGGAGTCGCAAAATATACACTGAGTGTACAAAACATTAGGAACACCTGCTCTTTCCATGACATAGACTGACCAGGTGAATGTAGGTGAAAGCTATGATCCCTTATTTATGTCACTTGATAAAATCCAATTCAAATCAGTTTAGATGAAGGGGAGGAGACAGGTTAAAGAAGGATTTTTAAGCCTTGAGACATGGATTGTGTATGTTTGGCATTAAGAGGGTGAATGGGCAAGACAAAAGTGCCATTGAACAGGGTATGGTAGTAGGTGCCAGGCGCACCAGTTTGAGTGTCAAGAAATGCAACGCTGCTGGGTTTTTCACACTCAACAGTTTCCCGTGTGTATCAAGAATGGTCCACCACCCAAAGGACATCCAGCCAACTTGACAAAACTGTGGGAAGCATTGGAGTCAACATTGGCCAGCATCCCTGTGGAACACTTTCGACACCTTGTAGAGTCCATGCCCTGACGAATTGAGGCTGTTCTGAGGGCGGGCGGGGCAACTCAATATTAGAAAGGTGTTCCTAATGTTTTGTACACTCAGTGTAGTTACCTGGTAGAACTCAATTCCCTGGTCAGTGATGAAAACGATTTCATTCCAGTTGGTCCAACAGAAGCCCAAAATGCTGGCATTCCTCGTCTGCCAATCAAAACATCTGAATATCAAAACCACAACTATAGAAGATTGACTCATGCTTTGTTACACCTATTTAGAAATTACAGCTATTTGTAACTTGAAACGTTTGACACTGGATATGCTTGCATACCTTACATTCCTGGGAGCATTCCAAATGCGGATAATCCGGTATGAAGCTTATGAAATCCTAAAATAAAACAGAGGCTTTCGGTCAGGCCATCAGCACGGAAACACAATGTTGGAATAACTTAGAGGTAGGCTACCTTAATTGAGTTGAGAATGATTTCTGTAATGCTTACCACAGATTTTGGTGTTCTCTGGACAGCCAAAATCTTATTTCCGATCGAAAACTTAATGCACTTCACCTCTCCTTTGTCGTCCATTCTGTAATGAAAATAAATATTTTCATGAGATCATCTCACTGATCTTACGATCTTCATCATCATCATCGCAAGTTATGTGTGATCTTGTTACCTGAAGGCAACTGAGCTTTTGTCATCTGGTCCTTTAACCACAACCCCAGTGGCACCCCCTGATCGCACTGCAAACACCTTAAGGGGCAAACCGGGTAAATAGAGAAAGCTCAATATATAAAAGGACTTGGGAGGTAAATATTACATTTAGATAGGGTACCAATAGAAGAATGAGGGTTACTGAAGCAATAGAATGAGGGTTACTCCTCGTCTAGTCTGGTGAATGTATTGCCAGTGTTTACTGTGGAGAAACATTTCTTAATGTTGACTATGAGTTTACCAATTCGTCTACCTCCTTGGTACCTACTATATTAATTAGCCATACTGTATGGCTACACCTTCGCAAAGTTGACAGCCACCCTCACCTAGTTAGCCATCTGTTCTTGCTGAATGAAAGGAAATGTAATCAAAGTAAAAATCAAGTTCACGGATTTTGTATTTAACTAGCTATAAACGAGCTAACTAAAAGCATGTAGCTAGCTAGCTATATCTGTATGTCAGTGTGGTGTCGCCAGCATAATCCTGCTAGCTAGCTTTGGGACACACTTTTAAAAAATTTTTTTTTACACTCACTTTTATTGCAACAATAATAACAATATTACACCTCAATACAGGGACATTCCTGTGAAAGCTTTGGGACACAACATTGGGCGTCTGTGTATTGGTTGGACTAGTCATACAGACTCCCGGCGATGTTGTGTCCCCAAAGCTACTAGTTAGCCTAGGCTACTGTACCTGTTTATTTGCTTCGTCGAAAAACACATTGTTGACGCTTGAGGCATTTTCAAATTGCACAGGGTTTTCACAAAGTTCGAGGTAGTGTTCCTCACTCATTGTTACGTCTCGTAGTTGTCAGTGTTTGTGCTGCATAACAATTTCAGCACCGATTTGTCCAAAACATAGGGTCGTCACTAGTTACTACAGTCACAGAGTCATAAACCCCGCCTATTTCTACAATTTCTTAAAATGTGATTTTTAACCTTAACCACACTGCTAACCTTATTCCTAACCTTAAGACCAAAAATCACATTTTTGTTTTCATGAATTTTTACGATATTGCCATTTTGACTTTGTGGCTGTGCTTGCTATCTAGCAGAACAAAACCCTCTCTAGGTAAGTTCCGGTTTCAAAATCATGTAACAGTCACGTGAATCGCCTACCATAGTAAATGTCCCTTTCAAAATATAAGTCCATTGTCAAACTCTGAAATCGAACGCTCCAAATAGGTACGGGTCGTTTCTGGAGTCTTTACTTTTTTTTTTTACAAGTTGGACTGACTGACTAAGATATTGGCACGTTGTAGTTACACAAAGCTTGCTTGTTATGCATCTTTTGTTATATATTTGCTAGTTTAGGTGTCTTCCAGCAGCAGCTGCTGCTCCATTTGTCCAGAGCGAAGCAAAATGACAAAGCATAAATTATTTTTACCATTTATTTCCACCATAATATTGCAATTACAGAGAGCACACAAACATGACAGCTCCATTGTAAGTACAATGGACCTCATTGTATCTTGGGAGACAATGACAAACAATTCATTGTGTGTCTTCATTCACAGCACCTTTTCATGATTAAAATATTCACTGATACTTTGGTTTCTTCACCAAAATGTTGGATGACAATTTGTTCCATTCAGAACATAATGCAATGCTCTTTTCATTCGAGCTCAGTTTACTCGTGAATATAACTTGTTCATAATGTCATTAATGCTGGTTACTAATACCCTCTAATTTCAAAAGCAATTATTGCGTGTGCATGTAGATGCATTATCTGTCATGTATCCCCTCAGATGTCCCCATCCATTCCATCTACAGCCGTAGTAATGGAATGAGATGTTGACATTTCATGGAGGTGGTTGGGAGCCTTTTTAGCCCACTGATCCATCTGCAGCCGTAGTAATGGGATGAGATGATGACATTTCATGGAGGTGGTCGGGAGCCTTTTTAGCCCACTGATCCCAGTGTAGCCTATGACACCATCTTGGGATGCAGCGACCTTTCGACCTCTTGCATACCTCATTGTGAGAGACCATGGGGGGGGGGTTTACTCGACCCATTCTCTCAAACAATCAACCAAACAGGTTCCATGCAGCTATTCATGGTGTCTAATATCTCATTGTTAATCATCCTCGTCGTGTAATAGGGGAGGCCCTCCGTCACTGGTGCTGAAGGTGTACATTTTCTTGCCCCTTCTCTGCACGTGGTCCTCATTCATCTTCTCCAGTGCCTCGATCTAGAAAACAACAACTTTGTATGAAAATGACTATTTTAATCCCAGGTTTCCTGGTAAGCACTTTGTGACGAATGCATTTGTGGCGCTTTATACAATTTAATTTGATGGATTGGGGTCAAAATCCAGTATAAACATCCCTACCCCAAAAAGGCACTTTAGTACATGATAGATGTTGCTGCTGTGTGAGACTATAGATAACGTGAGAGCCCACTTTAAAACAGCCTGAAAAAGGCATTTCTGTAAATTCAATACAACTACATGAATCACCACCAGAGAAATAAACCCCTCATATGGCCTTCAAGGTTTTCTGACCTGGGCAAGGAACTCTGCCTCACTGTCACCACTGAGCTGCAGCCCTGACACAACGTTGAAGAGCTCGTACACGTTCATGGCCTCAGACACCCCGCCCTTCTGGAAGAACTGCGTTGAAGAGATAAAAAAACGATATCTTGGTATTAAAACCAACAGCTTGTCACTGATACAAACACTGGTCTAAGAATAGTTTACATATTGGTTTAGACTTTCGCTCATTTTCCACCAACATTCATTGCATGTTTTGAGGTGTGGCAGCTAAATATATTATCCATTCAAATTTGACTGATAAAATTCACATCATTTTGATTGTTGTGACAGCAAATCAGGACTTTAGTCAGTATTTACTGTGAGCTGTACATTATAACAGGCAATTTAAACCTACAGTACTTGGATAACTGTGAGCTAACTTACCGTAGCCACGTTCCTGCAGTCCCTGAACAGGAACTCATGGCTGTGAGGGTGATTGGGCTCGATGGACTGACTCACATCAATCAGCCAAACCTTCAAAAGACAAGATGATTACATCACTCAAGGCACAATCTCATGCCTGGATTTCCAGTGTAAAAATTAAGGTGTAGATTGACCCACCTGGATATATAACGGTTAGACGAAAAGGATGAATAGCGTACCTTGCCCTCATGCCACAGCATGTTGTATTCACTCAGGTCAGCATGGACAAGGTTACACTCCTGATACAACTGTTGCATCATCTGCAAGGCCAGACAGACATCCAGGGGTCAAAATAATCAATAATAATAATAATAATAATAATATGCCATTTAGCAGACGCTTTTATCCAAAGCGACTTACAGTCATGCGTGCATACATTTTTTGTGTATGGGTGGTCCCGGGGATCGAACCCACTACCTTGGCGTTACAAGCGCCGTGCTCTACCAGTTGAGCTACAGAGGACCACATATGATATGGTAACTCTCTGGATACTCATCACTATGGAACTAGCGCTTACAACCAGAAATATTAGTAAAACGTATGCAACTATATACCAATAGAACCATGTCTATATTAAAGTGCATAGTGGCAAAGCTGCACTTACATGAACCACTTGGTCATAGGCCCTCTTCATGTCCTCAGAGCCCAACATGGCCTCCTTCAGTTTGGGAGCCGGCACATGGTCCTTGCCGATGAACGACATCACAAGGATGTGCTTCTTCAGAACCACCACCTCGGGGCATGGAATGTCAGCCTTCTTCATACTGATGAATTGAGTTTAGATTAAATCAGGTGGATTGGTGTTGGTCCATATACACTGAGTGTACAAAACATTAAGAACACCTTCCTAATATTGAGTCGACATTGTGTCAAGTAGGCTGGATGTCCTTTCAGTGGTGGACCTTTCTTGATAAAACAAAAACCTAACAGCGTTGCATTTCTTGACACTCAAACCGGTGCGCCTGGCACCTACTACCATACCCTGTTCAATGGCACTTTTGTCTTGCCCATTCACCCTCTTAATGGCACACATACACAATCCATGTCTCAAGGCTTAAAAATCCTTCTTTAACCTGTCTCCTCCCCTTCAGCTACACTGATTGAAATGGATTTAATAAGTGACATCAATAAGGGATCATAGCTTTTACCTGGATTCACCTGGTCAGTGTGTCATGGAAAGAGCAGGTGTTCTTAATGTTTTGTAGACTCAGTGTAGGTGACATCGCCACCACCCACCGTGCCAGGTTGTGCATCTCCTTCTCAGCCCACAGGCGGATGATCGTGCGGGGGTTCAGCTTGCTGAAGCGGTCTATGAAGCGGTAGTCATCTTTGATGTACTTGTCACGGTTCTTGAACTCGTTGAGTGTGGTCTTGAAGACCTTGAGCACACACTCATCTGGGACAGCATTCTTCTCCATGCTAGGAGAGGACGAAAACACACAAAACAGTATTGAAACCCTTAGAAACTTCAACTTAATTAACAGAGACATTTAGGGAAGTAGTTCTGTACCAAAACATCTACAGTGGGGAAAAAAAGTATTTAGTCAGCCACCAATTGTGCATGTTCTCCCACTTAAAAAGATGAGAGAGGCCTGTAATTTTCATCATAGGTACACATCAACTACGACAGACAAAATGAGAAAAGAAAATCAGAAAATCACATTGTAGGATTTTTAATGAATTTATTTGCAAATTATGGTGGAAAATAAGTATTTGGTCAATAACAAAAGTTTCTCAATACTTTGTTATATACCCTTTGTTGGCAATGACACAGGTCAAACGTTTTCTGTAAGTCTTCACAAGGTTTTCACACACTGTTGCTGGTATTTTGGCCCATTCCTCCATGCAGATCTCCTCTAGAGCAGTGATGTTTTGGGGCTGTCGCTGGGCAACACGGACTTTCAACTCCCTCCAAAGATTTTCTATGGGGTTGAGATCTGGAGACTGGCTAGGCCACTCCCGGACCTTGAAATGCTTCTTACGAAGCCACTCCTTCGTTGCCCGGGCGGTGTGTTTGGGATCATTGTCATCCTGAAAGACCCAGCCACGTTTCATCTTCAATGCCCTTGCTGATGGAAGGAGGTTTTCACTCAAAATCTCACGATACATGGCCCCATTCATTCTTTCCTTTACACGGATCAGTCGTCCTGGTCCCTTTGCAGAAAAACAGCCCCAAAGCATGATGTTTCCACCCCTATGCTTCACAGTAGGTATGGTGTTCTTTGGATGCAACTCAGCATTCTTTGTCCTCCAAACACGACGAGTTGAGTTTTTACCAAAAAGTTATATTTTGGTTTCATCTGACCATATGACATTCTCCCAATCCTCTTCTGGATCATCCAAATGCACTCTAGCAAACTTCAGACGGGCCTGGACATGTACTGGCTTAAGCAGGGGGACACGTCTGGCACTGCAGGATTTGAGTCCCTGGCGGCGTAGTGTGTTACTGATGGTAGGCTTTGTTACTTTGGTCCCAGCTCTCTGCAGGTCATTCACTAGGTCCCACCGTGTGGTTCTGGGATTTTTGCTCACCGTTCTTGTGATCATTTTGACCCCACGGGGTGAGATCTTGCGTGGAGCCCCAGATCGAGGGAGATTATCAGTGGTCTTGTATGAGGTGTGGACAGAGTGTGACTGTTTGAGGTTGTGGACAGGTGTCTTTTATACTGATAACAAGTTCAAACAGGTGCCATTAATACAGGTAACGAGTGGAGGACAGAGGAGCCTCTTAAAGAAGAAGTTACAGGTCTGTGAGAGCCAGAAATCTTGCTTGTTTGTAGGTGACCAAATACTTATTTTCCACCATAATCTGCAAATAAATTCATTAAAAATCCTACAATGTGATTTTCTGGATTTTTTTTCCTCAATTTGTCTGTCATAGTTGACGTGTACCTATGATGAAAATTACAGGCCTCTCTCATCTTTTTAAGTGGGAGAACTTGCACAATTGGTGGCTGACTAAATACTTTCCCCCCCCACTGTATTAAACAGATATTAAACTGTATTACAACTATGGCTAATAACATATGGTAAATAAAGCTACTGCTATAGAATCTGTCAATGATTATGTCATCACAATGTAAATGTCATGCCATAACCTTAGACAACCAGAGTTGGGGAAATTTCTATTCAGATCTGACTCATCATTAGGCAGGTAACAACACCTTTAGGCCTTCGGTCAATCAACCTTTGGTCAGCCAATTCAAGGTGTGGGTTCTTGCGACATAACTTGTAACGATGACACCCTCACCTTCCCCCATTTGCGTGGAACACCACAGACTCCTTCCCGGTGCTGATGCAGCCGTTGATGTTCTCCAGAATGCCTGCGTTCACCATTTTGTACATGAGCAGACGGGTCCTTGGGTCCACTGCTTGTTCCTGTGAGAGACAAGGGGAGAAAAAAAACAAAGCATGAAAGAGGATCAGGAGGAGAGAATTAGGAAAGAATGAAAGTACATTCAAATTATACAGATCTGATTGTATAAGCCTTAGCATAGTGTTATTTTGAAATTCAAAGACTTCTACAGTGAATTTTGCTACTTGTTAGTGCTGAGCGATTAGTGCTTTTTGAAGTCGGTTCGGTTTGATAATTTGTTTATAATCACGGTTTCGATTATTTGGTTTGAATGCTGTAACACAGAATAAAACAATTAATACAAGTCCCCATGATGGTGGTGACAGCCCATGACTGCTTATCACTCATTTACAGTGGTGGAAAAAAGTAAAGATACCATAATAGAAAATGACAAGTAAAAGTGAAAGTCACCCAGTAAAATACTACTTCAGTAAACGTCTAAAAGTATTTGGTTTTAAATATACTTAAGTATCAAAAGTAAATGTAATTGCTAAAATATACTTAAGTATCAAAAGTTAAAATCATTTCAAATTCCTTATATTAAGCAAACCAGACAGCACAATTCTTGTTTATTTATTTATTTACAGATAGCCGGCACTCTCCAACACTCAGACATCATTTACTAAATGAAGCATGTGTTTAGTGAGTCCGCCAGATCAGAGGCAGTAGGGATGACCAGGGATGTTCTCTTGATAAGTGTGTAACAAGTACTTTTGGGTGTCAGGGAAAATGTATGAAGTAAAAAGTACATTATGTTCTATAGGAATGTAGTGAAGTAAAAGGAGTCAAAAGTACAGATACTCCAAAAAAACTACTTAAGTAGTACTTTAAAGTATTTTTACACCACTGCTAATTTATTCACATAACTGAAATATTTTATTAAAGTAGTGTATATTAAATTTGTTTTACTTGACTATTATTTTATTCCAAGTCATCATCTCATCTCTATAGAGCTGCTGCCTATGCTGTCTGACAAAATCACTATTTTGTAGTTCTTCAAAGTAAATAAGGCATACTTTTTTTATGACTGCTGAATACCAACTATCAATCACTTAGATCATGTATTTTTAGGTAGAGATACCTCGCGAAGCAACAGCTGCTCTCTATATACCCTCACGATTGCGCATTCTGCCTCTTCCGTAGCAGGCATGAAAGAAACAGAGCGGACAAGTAGATGAGCAATGGATTATGGTCTTTGTAGTTAATTACCAAGTTTTATGCACTAAACTATGTAGAATATTGGCCAGTTGGAAACTACAACTCCCTATTACATCGCACAGTTCAGGCTGGATCTGATTTATCTCTAGAGAAACTGTGCAATGTGCACATTGAGCTCACAGAAAAAACACAAATGAAATCGAATTCAAATAACTGAACCAACATCAGTCAATTTGTTGTTTAAAAAACAAAAAAATAACAGAAATGTTGGTTAATCGCTCAGCACTACTATTTGTATAAACTCACAGCAGTGGAGTGCTCCTTCTTCTCATGCAGCCGGGCACTGCGACGCTGCTCGGAGTAGCAGTGTTGCTTGAGGGAGTTGTACACCTGGTTGGAGAGCTTCAGGTCCATGCCAAGCCCATCTCCCACATTGATCTCTGGGGCAAACTGGGAGGACAAGACAGAGAGGGAGATTACAAAATGGCTGACAGTTCAGGATATGTCAACTTCAGTGTGTATGAACATTAAGCCACACATTTCAAAGCTAATGGAGACAACTGCTAACGACGTTAAATAGCCATGTATCTTTCTCAGTGTTGGGGAGTAGTGAACTACATGTAGTTCAACTAGTAATATAACTACATTTAGTAGCTTGGTGGTAGTTGATCTAAATCCAAATCTAGGTAACGTTTTCAGTAGTTAATTCATTTTTTGCCATGTAGGGGTGTAGCTAACTACTGGAACTACACATTACTTTTTTGCAAAAATAAAATAAAATATGGGTGTCGGCAATAATAGCATTTATTTTTCATTATCAGACCTGCCTAATTCTCACTTCAAACAGTTTGTGTGTTTAACAGGCTAAATTACACATTCTATTAACATATGACCCCAAAGTGATCGGTTTTTGCAATTTGTAGTCTATGACATTTTAGATTTAGATATGATAATTTTTCACTAAGTAGTTTGGATGTAGTGAACTATTTTATCAAAATAACTTTAGTTAGGTCAAATATATTTTTCTTAAGGGCAGCTTTAGTGTAACTTAACTTCTTCCAGTGTGAAGTAATTGGTATCTTGGTAAAATATATTTTCAGAGTAGCTTCCAACACTGGACTGTCTATTGAATAATGCTGTACCAAGCCAAAAGGTGATCTTGTTGTCACTCTTACATTGTCCATGCGTGCAGTATTCTTCCTGCCACACACAACCTCATCGTGCTTAGTAGTGATGTTCTTGCCTTTCCCAGTAAAGCCTCTCCTTGGAGTTGTCGTGGGCTTGTCTGGAATACATTAAACAAAAGTTAATATAGAAAGTTGAACTATTGCTTTAATATAAACAGCCACCAGTCACCAATATCATGAAAAGACTAACAGCCACCAATATTCTATGCAGCAAGACGTTGTCCTGTTAAATGTATACAGTAGATGTATAGGGCCTAGCTACAATACTAATATAGGGGTAAAATGACAAAGGGATAGGCTTTACCAGCTTTGTAGGGGTCGTCACGACTATCTTGCCAATCAACTTCATCCTCGGCGCTGTCGCTGTCCTCGTAAGTGTGCACCATGCGATAGTTCTCAAAGGAGATGGACACTGCAACAGTATATACCAATCATTGCTCAAATTCTTCATATTCCCACTTGATTCCTTTTTACACTCCAGAAACCTGGTTATGTTTATTAGAGTATCAAACAGAAAACATTTTGCTACTGAAAATGAAAAAACTTCTGTTTTCTTTCATTTGGTGCCTAAGGAACACAACCCTTCATAGGGTTGTCACAATACAAGGATCGCGATACTACGATACCAGTTTTTCCATGGCAAAAAAAAAAAAAAACTCTGGGGTCCTAGAAAACCTACTTTATGTAAAATTGTGGATGCTATAGCTTGCAAAGTAAACAAATGTGACTTTAGGTGACAACATAATGCTCTTTGTTTCCAATAAATTAAATCTACTTCCTGTTTTGATTCATTGCCACGATAGCTCAGAGTATCGCGATACTGGTATAGCAACAACCCTTGTATGGTTTTAATACAGGACTTGTCCATAGGCTTACGTTTGCTATCCCCATTGAACTTCTTTTCTTCCGTGCGCAGCTGGGTGTCAAACTCCTTGTCAAACTGCATCTGCAGCATCTGAGCCAGCATCAGATCACTGTCTGTCTCTGGCTCCTCACCGGCATCCAGATCAGCGCTGACACTAAAACAGAGACATAGGATATCGGCCATAAACATCAAATCAAATTTTATTTGTCACATGCGCCGAATACAACAGGTGTAGACCTTACCGTGAAATGCTTACTTACAAGCCCTTAACCAACAATGCAGTTCAAGATACATACCTCTCAAAAATAACCCAATGTCAGTGTGGTTTGACTTACAATTAGGTTATTAGGTTTGCCCATTAAATTGTTAGGAGCATATATATTGTGTAACTTTTCTTTCTTTACAGTGACACTAACAATTGACACTGAAGTGCACACTGGCTAGAAAATAGGGTGAATATGTCATTCAAATGTCCTTACGAGTTAATGAGAATCAATAACACAGACAGGTGATACTGATGGGACTTACTTTGAGAAATCAGGGAAAGCATTACTTTCATCATCCAGTTGCTTGGCCAGCTGCTCGCTCATGACGTCAGTGAAGGAGCAGGGAGACACCACCTTGGTTGTGGTTGCGCCCCATGGACTCTGAAGGACCATTCATTCACATTATTAGTTAGGTAATGACAATACAATACAACAACAGGATGCATCCATTTGCTAACATATCCATGTACCATGTGCTTGAATAAAACAGTAACCAATGTCACCCATACTGTCAATTTAAAAAAAGCCAGCCATGCCCTGATTTGTCTGACTAGCTCGAATTAGCCAACGTTTGAAGCATGTCAGCCTGTTAGCGAGTATCAAACTTGGCTGGTATTGATTGATAAACGGCTGAATTAACTACCGTTAGCTAGCAAGTGCTAGTTAGATCAATTCATTTATAGCTGTATTTAAAACTAGGTCATGTTACCTGCCCTCCCCAAGACAAGCCATTTAAAGGCTCGGTTTTTGCCACGACCAGGGCCATTTTACATGTCCAGAATGTCGGACTGACTAGATAAGTTAACTAACCAACTCACCTTTGGTACTTCTGCAGTGATCGCTATTTGATCCATGACAGCAGTATACAGACAGTCAGATGTTGGGCTTGATCGTTAATAATGTTTGCGCAAGGACACGTTTAAAAGGCAGAGCTACGTAGAAAACCGTTTGCTATGATGACAGTCTATTTTGTTAGCTTCCTGAATTAGACACTTTAATGTAGATTTGTTAGCTTAAGTCAAATGATTATGATAGGATTTAAAAGTGAATTAACAGAATTTTAACAAGTCATCACGACCTATAGCGCAAATTCTCTGACTAGCGTTTCCCTTTACGTCTTCTTCTTCTTCAATGAGGTTTTAAGGGCGGTTGGCATCCAATTTGTTGCATTACCGCCACCTACTAGACTGGAGTACAACTCCCTTATATTTTGCTTGAAAAATAAAATAAAATAAAGAAATACCCTACCATCTAACACTACACTCACAAATTCAAAATTATTATTAATAATTAACACCACCCTTCTCCACTATTTAAATATATTCATTCCTACCTCATGCCCTCAACCTGAAATTATGGGACATCACCACTTAACACTCCCTGTAACTCTTCTGATGTCTAGTCTCGCACATCCCAATACGTTTTCCTTTCTGAATAAGGAAATTACGTAATCAATCCCTCTTCTTCTTCTGTGATATAACGGCGGCCCACAAACCAACGTTAAAGGTGCATGCCGCCACCTATTGTGCTGGAGTGTGTGGTCAATCACGGTTTACAACATTTCTAAATCCTCCTACCTAACTCAGTACTTCTGAGAAAATATAAAAGAGCCCTACTACCTTCTAATAGACCCTCCCCCATCCCCAGAATCCAGGCTAGTGATTGCTTTGCAATGCTTGCAGTTAGCCACTGATTCCTTCCAAACCACTCATTGTTGAATTTGCGATTTCCAACTTGTTGAGCACCGATACGTTTTATCTATAATTTTTCTTCATATGACAAGGATTAAAAATGATTTGCCAGTGGATTGTTGACTTGATTCATGATGATGACTGCTAGCTAAGATTTTGAAAGTATGATGTTGACATGATCAGTCCAATCAAAGCTACTGTAGATATAACGTGATTTGACGTCATTTTATCTGTGGCCAATGACCTTGAGCCTTCTTGGATGGGCACTTCTAATGTAACTCTATGGCAGCACCCAAGGGGCTTGAATTTTCGAGCTCTACCCTTAGATTTGGCAGTGACATAGTGTCCCCATGAGTGACAGAACACTGAGCCAATCACGGCGCAACTAGAGAACATTACCAACCCCTACGCTCCGTATTTTCCGCTGGCTGCCCAACCACCACAGAAAGCACTGAGCTAGGCTGAAACACCTGCATTTTGTAGCTGCCTAGCTCAGGAAAGCAAAAAAGAGACCATGTTTGTATTGAGGCTTTATTAACTCAATTATTATTTATTTTTTTATTTCTGTCACGATCGCTAGACGGAGTAGACCAAGGGGCAGCGTTGAAAGCAAACATACTCTTTATTGTGATCTCACGAACAAAACAACAAACGATAACGTGACGTCTATGGTTTAACACAAACCACACTGGAACAAACCAAACGGAACAAGATCCCACAACTATTGTGGGAAAACAGCCTCTATAAATATGGCTCCCAATCAGAGACAACCAGCAACAGCTGACACTCGTTGCCTCTGATTGGGAACCACTCTGGCCAACACAGAAATACACTACATAGAATATACACACCCTGGCTCAACATATAGAGTCCCCAGAGCCAGGGTGTGACAGTACCCCCCCCTAAAGGCGCGGACTGCGACCGCGCCTAAACATCAACAACCCAGGGGAGGGCTGGGTGGGCATTCCTCCTCGGAGGCGGTTCCGGCTCCGGACTAGACCACCACCCTTCAACCATCCCCCCGTGGCGCCCCTGGTCCGGTTTGGCCCCGCTGAACGGAGCTGGACTGGACATCGTAGAAGCGGATTGCTTCAGCTCCGGTGTGGAGCAGCTGACCGGTACCTGACCAGGCACCGGTGACCCAGGCACGGGTTGTGCCGGACTGACGACGCACACCCCTGGCCTGGTGCGTGGAGCAGGGACGGGCCGGACCGGGCTGACGATGCGCACCCCTGGCTTGGTGCGTGGAGCAGCTACGGGCCGGACCGGGCTGACGATGCGCACCCCTGGCTTGGTGCGTGGAGCCGGAACGGGCCGTACCGGGCTGACGATGCGCACCCCTGGCTTGGTGCGTGGAGCAGGAACGGGCCGGACCGGGCTGACGATGCGCACCCCTGGCTTGGTGCGTGGAACAGGAACGGGCCGGACCGGGCTGACGATGCGCACCCCTGGCTTGGTGCGTGGAGCAGCAACGGGCCGTACCGGACTGACGATACGCACCCCTGGCTTGGTGCGTGGAGCAGGAACGGGCCGGACCGGGCTGACGACTCGCACCCCTGGCTTGGTGCGTGGAGCAGGAACGGGCCGGACCGGGCTGACGACTCGCACCCCTGGCTTGGTGCGTGGAGCAGGAACGGGCCGGACCGGGCTGACGACTCGCACCTCTGGCTTGGTGCGTGGAGCAGGAACGGGCCTTACCGGGCTGACGACTCGCACCCCTGGCTTGGTGCGAGGAGCAGGAACCGGCCGGGCCAGGCTGACGACTCACACCGTAGGCTTGGTGCGAGGGGCAGGAACAGGCCGGGCCGGGCTGGCGACGCACACCGTAGGCTTGGTGCGAGGAGCAGGAACCGGCCGGGACGGGCTGACGACTCGCCCCGTAGGCTTGGTGCGAGGGGCAGGAACAGGCCGGGCCGGGCTGGCGACGCACACCGTAGGCTTGGTGCGAGTGGCAGGAACAGGCCGGGCCGGGCTGGCGACGCGCACCGTAGGCTTGGTGCGTGGAGCAGGAACAGGCCGGGCCGGGCTGGCGACGCGCACCGTAGGCTTGGTGCGAGGAGCAGGAACCGGCCGGGCCGGGCTGACGACTCGCACCGTAGGCTTGGTGCGAGGGGCAGGAACAGGCCGGGCCGGGCTGGCGACGCACACCGTAGGCTTGGTGCGAGGAGCAGGAACCGGCCGGACCGTACTGGGAACACACACCACTGGCCTTAAACGGGGATCAGGAACGGGCCGGACCGGACTGGCAATACACCTCAGTACCTCTCGCCGTGCCTCTACAACTTCCTTCCCTCCTCTCACCAATGGCTCCCGTAACCCGGTGGCCTTCTCTCCTCGTCTCCCATTTCGCCCTGTGGCAGCCTCCTGCTGCCCAGTCGCCCATGCCGTGTGCCCCCCCCTAAAAAATGTCTGGGGTTGCCTCTCGTCCGTCCGACGACGACACTGTTGACGCCGTTGCTCCTCTCTCGCCAGGGCCTTAATCTTAGCCCATGGCCCCTTGCCCCCGAGCATGTCCTCCCAGGACCACGATTTGCCCACCTGGGCCATCGCCAACCTTTCCAGCTCCTTTCCCGGCGCTTCCTCCCATGTCCAGGCCGCCTGCTCCTGGACACGCTGCTTGGTCCTGGTATGGTGGGATCTTCTGTCACGATCGCTAGACGGAGTAGACCAAGGCGCAGCGTTGAAAGCAAACATACTCTTTATTGTGATCTCACGAACAAAACAACAAACGATAACGTGACGTCTATGGTTTAACACAAACCACACTGGAACAAACCAAACGGAACAAGATCCCACAACTATTGTGGGAAAACAGCCTCTATAAATATGGCTCCCAATCAGAGACAACCAGCAACAGCTGACACTCGTTGCCTCTGATTGGGAACCACTCTGGCCAACACAGAAATACACTACATAGAATATACACACCCTGGCTCAACATATAGAGTCCCCAGAGCCAGGGTGTGACAATTACATTGTTTGCAAACTGATATGTGACAGGTATTAATGCCAAAATAACATGCATAACAGGCAACCCCCCCCCCCAAAAAAAAAATATATTTGTTTTATTTTATTTATTTTTAGCTAAAAATGTGGGGCTCAAAACAGGTGGGGCTCTGCCCCATCTGTCCTGAATGACAGGTCGCCACTGGCTGGGACCCAGCGGAATCTCACGACTACACCCATTCTCTCAATTCTCCATAATAACATTAATACTGTCACACCCTGGTTCTGGGGACTCTATATGTTGAGCCAGGGTGTGTAAGTTCTATGTGTTTTGTTCTATGGTGTATTCTATGGGTGCTATTTCTATGTTGGCCAGAGTGGCTCCCAATCAGAGGCAACGAGTGTCAGCTGTTGCTGGTTGTCTCTGATTGGGAGCCATATTTAAACTGTCTGTTTTCCCTTTGTGTTTGTGGGATCTTGTTCCGTTTGGTTTGTTTCCGTGTCGGTTGTGTTAGACCGAGGACGTCACGTTTTCGTTTTGTTGTTTTGTTCGTGCATTCAATATATAAATAAAATAGGTTTGCAACTAACGCTGCGCATTGGTCTACTCCGTATAACGTTCGTGACAAATAACTCCAATAGTAAGTCACTCCTATTAGATTTACCAGATGATAAACTATTCAATACAGACAGAGAATCTGAGCATACTATAATTCTAACAGGTTGTACGTCCTCCACCCACTGGAGGGCAACTATTATCGCCAACAGTTCAACTGAGTATACTG